ATGAACATCAGCTCTGCTGCTTCATCTGCACATCAGCTTCCCCGCTGTGCTCTGCCAGCCTGCTGTGTTTGCTGGCACTGCACTGCCCTTTGCACCTCTCATTTTCATCCTCCTTCCTCAGGCCTGCACCAGGACGTGCACTCACCTCAAACACTCATTTGCTGGGCTGATGGCTCCTCATGAACCCAGTGTCTGCTCTGCAGAGACCCCCAGCCCTGGGGCACTCTTCTCCATGGATGCCCGTGGGTTTTGTGGGAATTCTCCCTTTTGCTGAAGTTATTCTGGCAGTTTGTGAATCTGCACCATATGGCAAAAGTGGCCTCTGTTAGCACAGTGGTTACAGTAGCTCATTTATCACTGAATCTTCAAATTTAGGTACTTAGTGGTAATGAATACCCTCCTTCATCACACACAAAGCAGGAATCTGTCTTTTGTGCAAGAGCTCTGTAAGCAAGGGAGAATGGAAGTCCAGCTCTTGGAGGTGATGAATACTTTTTATTTTGGGGGTTTGAATTTTAGATGCATCCTCTCCCCACTTTTTTCCTCTTGGCTGCAGAAATCTGAAAGCTAAAGACAAAATCAGCCAATAATGCTGAGAAAAAGCAGAGGAGCTGTAGTCCTGCTGCACACAAGCTTTTTCTTCTCTTGTGCCAGCTCAGGAGATGAAGAGTTAAAGCCAGATTTCTGTCCAGGTCAACACAGAACAAGAGGAAAAATCCCCCAAAATGCCAGATATGTAGAGAGAGAACTTGCATGGGGTGTACAATCATGTGGTAGTGAGAGGGAACAGAAAAGTTCATTGTGCTGGTGTGTGGCCATCCAGGTGACTTTGAAACGTCTACTTGGGAAGAAAGGGCTTTCTGCTTGTGGCTTGTGTGCTGTCCCATGCCCGGAAGGGAGCTGGCAGGACACCTGGAGTTAAGCTTTAACAATCTCAGCTCAGATGTAACCGTGGGACTCGTTCCTTTTGCAGGCTATTATGCTGCTGGTTCCAGCGTTCTTGTTAATTGGATGGGCTGCAAATGTGACCATGCTGAGTGCTGGACTGCTGCTGTACTCCTTCGGTGAGCTGTGCAAGCTAAGCACAACTGATTTTCCTTTATGCATTTATTCACACTCTTAAAAAAGATGCACTTCTAATTTCAAATGAAAAGTTACAGAAAGTTGACACTTGGGTATATGAAATATGGACAAAACAGTGTCTGGTTTTTTTTCTGATGCTGTTTGCATCACAGGAAGTTGTCATGGTGGCATTTGGAATCATCCCCAGTGCTCCTGTTGTCCTGTCTCACTGTGGAGCTCTTGAGGATGGTTTTCTTAACCCACTCTTAGCAGACCTAGTAGCAAAGTATTCACTAAATAGCCAGTTCAGGAAAAAAGTGAGACATGGAACCTTTGTAGCTGAGTGGTGCTGCATGATTTCTTAGGCTGGAGACCTGCACCCTCTGAGGGTGTTCGGAGAGCGAGGGTCAGATGTTTTCAGTGTTTGCCTAAATTCTGTTCTGCCAGCCTACGCTGTTGTTCAGGGAAACAGTCATGAATGAAGTTGGATCCATCTATTGGATGTCTAAAAAGAGATTTCGGGTATTACCAATGCTGTTAACTATTGTTAAGCAGCTCCATATATGACTTATTACAAAAGTAGACTTCTCTTTTACATGATACAGCTTGATTTAGAAGTAAACTGCAAACCAGAAAATGCACTTATTGAGCCTATTATTTGTGTGGGGCCAGCTGTGTGTTTGACAGATGAGGAGTGAGAGGAGGTATTCATTATGTTTAACCATATTTGAGTCTTCTCTGGCCCCTTTCTGTGCAGATTGCTCCATCTCTTCCCAGTTAAGCCAGCTAGAAATGCCCTTGGGGGGTTCTCTTCTTCTTTTCCTCCCTCTGCCCAGCAGTTGGGGCACTTGCAGTTAAAGCAACGTTGATCATTCCTGCTCTTCCCTTTCCCTTCCCTTCTTCTGCTTTTTATGTTTGAGGCACTTCTTTCTTGGCAGAAACGGTCCCTATTTCAGTAAGAGGGCAGTGATTGCTGAACAACTCTTGGCTTTTTGTCCAAAAAATTTGGTAACCTTTTCTTCTTGGATGTGACTTTCCCAAGAGAGGCTGTAGCTGCCTCTCCTCCCCGAGTCCAGTGCCCTGCCTGCACAGGGACAGTGTCAGTGTCACTCGGTACAGCCACCTCATTGTCTGTTTGCAGCACAGCGATTCCCTGCTCCACCTGATAAGAGCGCAGCGATTTGGGAAGCTGCCAGCTGGCTGATCTGCCCTGTCCATCCCCATCCCAAGGGCCCACAGAATGAGGGATGCTAATGTGAAACATCTGCTTGGAGCACTCTCGGCTCTGGGCTCTTCCTGCAGGTTGGCTTGCAGGGGGTGTTCCCATCATTGACCTGGATTAAACCTGGTGACTCAGTGGTGGTAGAGTACCCAGAGCTCAGCGTATTTCTCTGCAGCAGTTACGAGTTTGGGCCACATGTTTGTCACTGTTGTTCTTGTCTGTTCTGAGCTCTGCTGAACACTGACAGTCTCTTCTGTGGATTTTTCCAGCTGCAGCTATTGTTATCCCGTGTTTGTCAGCAGTGGTGTCAGGCTATGGTGAGTGTCCTTCCTGCTCTGTGCTCCTGGCCACACCTCTGACCTTTGTATTGATTTGGCTCAAATTACACAGAACTGACCTTGAGTTGAGTGAAGCTTCAATTGGAACAGTTGTGGATCCATCTCAGGCCCTTCTGTAGGGGAGCACAGGGAACCAGCCCATGGTCATACCTGGCTCATAACAGATAATTTCAGCACTAACAACGATCTGCTCAGTGACCATTAATGTCACACTGGAATTTTGTGCTGTGTAACACAGCTCAGTCCAGTGTGATGGGGAAACTGCAGCAACCTCATTGCTGGTGGTGATGAAGATGAGAAGTGGGCAAAGGCCACAAACAGCATTGAGGAAGGAACAGTCTGGGCTCTCTGAAAAGGACACCAGCCCTCCCTGCCAGCAGTGAAATAATTTCTTGCTGATTCCTTAGAAAAGACCTGAAACCTTCTGGTGGTGGTTGCTGTTACCTTGTAAAGCAGATATAGCTGTGGTGCCATCTGTGGATAACACGGCTTTGGGTCAGCTGGGTGCCAGGACTGCAGTGTTTGCTGAGGTGGAAAAGAAAGGTTTTGCTCATTAAGGTCATGTTTATGTTGCTCTTATTTAACTTGCATCTAGTTCTGTGTTTATTGTACACCTGGGCATTCTCACAAAATCTTGTGCACAATGTGAAGCTTTTGTTTTGGATAGGCTTGGGGGTTTTTGGGAGGTGGAATATGTACTAATTGTCTGGGTCAAGCACTCCTGCCAGGCCCTGGTGCTTATGTAGTCGAGGGCCTTGGTGGGGGGCAAGCACAGACTGGGGACTGGGAGAGAAACGATAGAAGGGGAAGAAGCAAGTGGGAACTACCCCAGAGAACAAAGCTGCCAGAGCTACAGCCGTGCCCAGACCCCCAGTGTCACGCTCTGCTTGCACAGGCACTGCCGGCCAGAAGGGACGAGTCATGGGCATCCTGAGGAGCCTGGGCGCCCTGGCCAGAGCCCTGGGACCCATCCTGGCAGCTGCAGGTGAGTGTGGCCTCCTGCTCCTTCCTCCTCTTGGCACCAGACAGCCCAGGGGCACAGGCATCCCCTGCTTGGGGTCAGAGCAGAGGGTAAAGGGACAGAGGAAGGAGAAGCAGCCTCAGAGCTTGAACTTGGGCTAATGTTAACACCAAGCAAGCCAGAACCTGAGTGCAGCCATGTGTCAAGCTCCTGGCACCCTCTGGCTCAACCAAGGGATCAGTAGTTTTGTTCAGCTGTGCAGGTACTGTGTGAGCACAACAGCTTTGAGGGCATTCACACAGCCGCAAGGACAAGCACAGTAACAACATGACTTTCCTTTCTTTTGCAGTTTACTGGCTGGCTGGGGCAGAGATTTGCTTCACTATCTGTGGAGCTTTTTTCCTTGTCCCCTTGGCTCTACTCAGGTCTATAAAACAGCAGACAAAGGGGGAGTAGGAAGGAACCACAAAACCATCACCAGGCTTCCGAGGACCTCTGCGAGACCTGACTCTTGGCACCTGACTCTGCTGAGCAAAGAGGAAGATTTTCATATTGGAAGGAGATACACGATGACCATTTGCAGCAACAACACATAGCAGTTATGTTTAAGGTGGCCTCCCAGCCAGCTGGATTAGCTTTGCAAATAGAAAAACACCAAACAAACAAAAACAGACACACACACCCTGACCAAGAGTTGAGAAAGGCATGCAGAGACAGAGACAGCACAACAGCAGCAGGCCTGGAGCCCTCCCCACTCACCAGGTGCTGTTGGTCCTAGCCCTGAGCCTCTGCAGGGGCAGGGCTGGCTCAGAACAAGCCCTCAGGCCCATTCTGATGGGGTTTTTGTACAAGTGGTACGAGAGCTCTGCAAATGTTGCATCCACACCTGCAAACGTGATGGTCAAACAAAAGGAGAAGCACACTGCAGGCTGTCTGGTACCCCACTGGTACTTTGGCACAGGTGGACTGTTTTTAATATACAATTAAATTTGGGGACATTTTTTATATTTCTAATACTGTGTGATGTTTTTGATGACCAAGCCCTGTTCTTTTTGCATTACAATAAACAGTTACACTGAATACTCCTGTGGTCAGTTCATTGCAGTTACCCCCATCTCTGAACTAAGCATCCCTGTCTGGCGGAGGCAGAAAGGGGCCAGAATTGTACCCAAGGTGCCAAAGGCCTCCTTGAGGGAGCCAGCCATGGATGACTGCACCATGCTGACCCAGCTAATGGCTGGGGGAAGGAACCACCACCACTGCTGAGCTGGGAGTCTCTGGGAAGGGAGCCCTGCAATAGCCAGTTTGAGTATTTTCTGAGAAGGAAAGCCATCATTAATCATCACCCTAATCATTAGAAGACAACTAAGCAAATGAGGCTACAGAACAAAAGTGTACAAATTTTGAAAGCAGAACATGATTTTTCAAGAGTTTTATTTTTGAGTAGAACTTAATGATGCAATAAAGAAAGAAAAATACAGGACTTTATTCTGCCCCAAAGTGTGTAACCATACCATACATAACTACATTTCATATTTTAATACAAAGAACTAAAAGAACAAACTACAAAATTAGAAATTAAAAGTCATTGCATATGTGGTCAAGATAAATGGAGGGACTTCAGTAAAGAACTGAAACATACAGCAATTAGTCATTTAGTCACGACCCTGCAATAAAACACAATTTAGCAAAATAAGTGTTGTTTGCTTCCTAGTGTACAAGGACATACAATGTTAGAGCAGAAGCTGAAAGCCATTCTTGCCATGCAGTCCTGCCTGAGTGCTGCTGTCCAGGGGCTCTGGCCCAGTGCCCGCCTGCTCTGTCCCACACCGGCCCCGTCACCTTTCCCACGGTCCCAGTGGCCACCTCGAGCCCTCTGTTCTCACTTGAACACTGACAGCTCAATTCCACAATTCCACTTCCAGCTGTTCCCCTTCACCACTCAAAACCAGCATCAGCACCTGCCAGCCCGACACAGGCCTCGCTCTGCCGCCCAGAGCTGCCTCCAGCCACCCCCACCCACCCAGCGCTCTGCACTTTCTGCTGCATGAGTGTAAGGCATTAGTTCTCTGCTGTTTTACCAATTGCAACATTTAATATTGTCCTAAAAGGTTACATCCATGTTCTGTTGTGTTACAGACACTGTGAGTCAGTGTGTTGCCCTCACCCCCACGGGGTGTTGGGGTTTGCTGCTGCTAAACCCAAAATGCAAATTCTAGAAACCAGAACTGGTCACTGCCCCGCCGGCCGGGGCCGGGGAACAGCACCCGCTTTCCAGAGAATTCCGCAAGCTTGACCTGCCTGATCTGAAACTACTTTTACAATTAGTGACAGACACAAGCATGGCAATAACTGTGAAATAGTGAACTCAGTGGTGAGAGTGATTTGCCATGCTGCACATTAAACAAACATTTATAGCAAACAGTGAAAATACACCTTTAAGGTTATATGGGATTTCTGTACTTAACCGCTGGCAACAACAACAAAAAGATTTCAAGAGATGCCAGCTTCTGCAAGTGAAAATATAATTACTATAAAACAAGGTGAAATATTCAGTGTAATGCATTTACATTTTTGTCAGTAAGAAGGAACAAACACAAAAGGCTGCACATGGGGTTCATGCACAGCAAGGTTGTGCAAAAAGGGGATTTTTAAGAGGATGATAAAACTGTGCTAAGGCCCAAAACACATCTGCCCATGCTCCATACCACCAGCTTTTACTTCAATTACTTTTTAACCTTTTCTAACAGCCAAATCACCACATGACTCAGTGAGGCAAGAGCAAAGACAGATTTTAACTGTAATTCACTAGAAAAAAAAAAAGCAGCCAAGATTGGGCTCTTGGAACACACAACATGAGTGGAACACACCATGAACATTTCAGTCCTAGACATCAAAGACTGATTTCACCAGCCAGTTATAAAAAAAAAGTGAAAAACACCTTCATTTTGTAACAACAGCAAGAAGGGAGAAAGAGAGAAAGCAATGGAGAGCCTCAAAGCTTGGCCAAACCACAACCTGTACTCACAAGCTTGCATAAGTTTACATGTCAGTTCAAGAATTCACCCCCCCTTGAGAGCACCACTGCAAAAGCATCCTCTCTAAAAGTCAAAATTTAAGAAATTTACTTGTGACTTGGAACAGAATATTGGAAAGAACACTTATTGTGGTAAGCAATGGGTGGTTTATTTTTAATTGTGAATTTTTTTATATTCTTTTGCAAAGCAGTGCAGGCTTTAAATTAAAAATAGTGAATCAATGCCTTCCACATGGAAGTCATTTACATCTGATTACAAATTAGGGATCAGATCTGTGGCAGCTGCTGAACACACAGGATTAGCACCTTTTTGGACATGAGTTTCTGGTTATAACCCTAAACAATCAAGCCATAACTTGAGGGGCTGGTTGGATTAATTGTGGCATTCATTTACATAGTAAGACAAAACACTCAGTACAATCTGGTACATTCTAGTGGTTAATGGAGTTTAAAATATGACAGTGTTTCTGCAGTGGGTTGGCCTTTAGGAGTCACTCTTCTTTTTGCTCTTCTTCAGGAAGGAAGGAGTGCGGAACTTCTTTTTCTTTTTTGATGGGGACTTCCCTGGAGATTCATCGCTACCTGCATCAGCTGCTGTCCCCTCCTCAGCTGTTGGTGTTGCTGGCTCTTCAGTGGGTTGGGACTGGGGTTCTTTATTTTCCACTGCAGGTGGTTCCGTTTGGCTTTTGGGCACATCGTGATCACATCTCCCTTCCTCCTTTCCTAAGGGAGGGAAGCTGAGTGCTTCCGAAGGCTCATCGGGGGTGAGATCTGGGAGGGTTTGCTTGAAGGTTGCAGCATCACTGTCATCTCTGTAGGTCTGGTCCTGCCGTGTCTCTGGTGGACGGACAGACAGTGACAGTCAGTTTACAAAAGTGTCCCTGGAGCATGGCAAGCGAGGCAAGTGGATGGTGAGCGCGCTCTACAAAAAACTAATATATTTACTTAGCATGAAAGCCTTTGTAATAGGGCTGTTCTCCAGCTTTGGGCACAGAAGAAATAAGATATTCCAAAGTTCTGTTTGGGTTTTTAAGCTTCTTCACACAGAACAGATCAAGCTGAATTGCATCAGCAAGAAAGTAACTGTTCAGACCTCGCTCCTGTTTTACTTATGATATTTGCAGGCAACACAATATTTTAGTGCAATAAAGCAGGAATTAAACCTACAGTTTTCACTGGAATTGAATCTAGTGATTTGCAATTCCACACTTTTATTCTTATTCCTTTTGGAGAGATAAAATTAATTGCTGATTTGCAGTGATCCCATACATGCAAATTCATTAATTTCTAAATTGTTGGTTTGCCAATTTATAATCCCAATGAAGAGATTTTCATAGTATTCTTCCATGAGATCTAACAAAAATTGCTTCAAAATATAATTTCCTATCACAAAGGCTTCATTTTTTTTTTGCAAGATATGAGTACATATTATGGATTCCTATCAGTAAAATCCATGTAGTTTATTGAATTAAATGAGCTCAGCAGGTTATGCAATACAGCTTGTTTTGTTTATTGTATGTGATGTCAACAGCCAAACTCACCCTGTAAAAGGGAACATCAAGAGTCCAGTGGTAGCTGTATGTCCAAAGGGGAACTGAACCACTCCTCCCTCGCCTGCAGCACTGTCCCCACTCACCGCTGTGCTTTAGGATGCTGTGTTTAAGGCCCCTCTGTGCACGGGCTCAGCCAGCAGCGCTCTGTGGGGCTCCCTGCAATGCTGTCCGTGCACCGCAGCCGAGCTGTCCCGTCGGCTGTGCCACATCCATCCCCACTGATCTTACGTAAGGAGGGATTTAGAGCAAAATCCAGGCCACGCTCATTGTGAGGCACAAATGAAAGGCAACTATTTTTTCCTCCTTTCAAGATCTTGTTTGTTTTAATTTGAAAAGACTGAAGGCTTTCACAAGAATTTACAGAAAATACTGTTATACTTTCACGTTTTTCCTATAAAAATGACATTGTTCTTTTTACTTCTGCCAGATGGGACTAATAATTCTCTGATATATTTTAGAGGGTTCTGTTCTAAGAATACCTACTAGGAAACAAACATGTTTTGCCTAGAGCACCATGAACTTCTAATAGGTTAAATAAACACCACACATGCTAGTATCCAGTGCAAAACACTCAGAATGCACAAGTTAGCAGTTTAAAAGTTATAATGCAGGCAGGATTTAAATCAGAGCAAAAAAGGGAAAGCAGTTATGTACAGTACAAGTTGCCTTCTTAGGCTGTAGTTTAGCCTGTCTATGTATGGCAGACACACATTAATAAGAAACACCAGTTACAGTTCTTCACTACCACTACCCTGTTTTTGGAGTTGACTTTTCAGGAATTAACCAAAAACATTGCTGAGCTCTTCCCCCTGGGATCCAGTGGCAGGATGTGTGGGAATGGCTCAAAGCTGCACCAGAGTAGGTTCAGACTGGACTTTGGGAAGCATTTCTTCTCTGAGAGGGTGGTCAGACATTGAAATAGGCTTCCTACTTAGTGAGAGCTGGTCAAGGCCCCAGGCCTGTCAGTGTTCAAGAGACATTAGGACAATTAGCTTTAACTTTTGGTCAACCCTGAACTGGGTCTGGCAGTTGGACTAGATGTAGGTCCCTTCCAAGTAAAAAATATTATATTTTATTCATTAGTTGGCCCAATTTGTAGAACAGGCACCATACTGGACTGTCAGGTTTATTTTTTTAAATTAAGTTTTAAAATAGTTTTGAAGTCTTAAAAAAGGGACTAGAGATTCTTCAAATTAAAGAATAGGAAGCTACAGGCATTCAAACAGAATTTGCCAGCTGGCCTGAGCACTGAATAAATATAAATGGGTTTGCAACTCATTAACCCAGGATTGCCATCCTTCCCAGTTTGTCAAGTTCCCATCATCCTTAATAAACAGATTAATGATGCTGGAATCAAGCAAACATCTGTTTATCTGGTTTGCTAAGGGCACTATTTTACCAGAATTCAGAAGATTTACAAATTCCACATGCAATTAAGCCAGCACACAACATGTAAGTGCCCTGCTACTCTACTGGATGGATTTCATTAACATAACTAGAAAGCTTTAAAAATCTATGTCTTACTGCAAAACCTATTTACAGTTTAAGAATTCAGCAGCACTTCAACAATTTAAAAGTTTTTTTTTAAATAATAATGTTTACATCCATACTTTCCCTTTATTTTATATATATATATATATGTGTGTGTGTGTACACACACTGTGGCTTAAGAGTTTAAAGCATAACATCAATACTGGTGTGTGTTTACAATTCACATTATTTAAGAAAAGAAATGTTTATGAAGTTCTGGTTTCATTTTTTTTTTTCAACACAACAGTGTGGACAAACATACAAACTAGACTATAACTGAGTTAAAAAACACTTGACTGATTTCAGCTACACTTGAATAGAAAGAATATGATGAATCAAAGTTGAGAAGAGGTTGTATACTGACAACATTGTCATTCAATGGAACCTCCCCCAACCAAAGTCATCCTAGTATGAACTTCCAGTTATTCTCTAAAATAAGCTTTGTATGTTTGTCCTGGAAAACTTATACTAGAAGAGTTTGTCAAACACAATTCCCTGTTTTAAAGAACTTTCAGGTTTTAGAACTTTATCAGTAACATCACAGGTGTCTACAATATAGTTTGCCTTTCACACCTATGACAAATACACTTTTGGATATAACAGGACATACAAACATCCTTATTCCTTTAAAGTATAATCCAAAGGAGCCCTGCAGAGCTAGCCAAAACAGCTGTAGAAGTTGCTGCCACCAAGTACTTGCTGTTATTCCTTGGTTGGAATTTGAATGCCCTACAGTTAACACAAAACATAGGAGTAGTCCCATATCCATTTCCGTGCAGAAGTCTGCTGGGTAAATTTAAATCCATGTCAGTGGATTTTGCTTTGGAATAGATTAGGAACTCTTCCCGTTTTTTACCAGGCCCAAGCTGTGTGGGCAGCAGCAAACTGTTGGGGCAGAAACTCCCAGGGATGTTTCAGCTATATCTGCCAGGCAACTTCAGACTATTCCTTTTTAAACTGAGGAATCGGACACACAGATATGGAAACACGGAAGGTGACTTTCACAGTCTCTCTCAAAGGGGGAGTGTGCTTTAACATGAGAACTGCAACTGCCTGGAATTACATGGAATTGAGAAGTAAAGAAATCAACATCTCAACTGAAAAAGCCTGCTTTTTTAAAAAAAGCACAACAAAAAAAAACTTTAGTAAACAAAGATGCAAGAGTGAAGCAAAGCACAAAAGCAGGTCAGAGTATGGAATGATACTTACTATGGTAACAGGTATTCTTTAGCATATCCATCTCCTGTTTGTAACGCAGCCACAAGAAGAAAAAAGCACAAGTAGAGAATCTATGCATTCATCACAGCCATTGTGTTACGTTAGAAGAATGGTTGCAACCATTCTTGTAGAAAAACAGAATGAGATGAAGTAGTGAATGGCAGACTAACAGACAAATGATATATCCAATGTACAAGGTAAAGGAAACAAGACAATAATTGGATTACACCTGATCAAGATGATAATTTTATCCTTTTTTTAGGGAATTATCAACTTTAGCAGCCCTGCTCTCATTCTAGTTAAAATTATGACATAAGGTGAGCAAATAAGCAAATTTAGGCTCAAATTGAATAGGAAAACTAATGAGGTGTAATCCAAGTACAATAATGTTTAAGAAATGTGCAATCAGTGAAGATTTACCAAAGCATCTAGATATGTGTCTGGTTCACCATCAGACACTATTTCATTTAGAAAGAGCAATTACCTCACAGAAAATGTACAAAAAGGTAAATCAGTTGAGAAACACCAAGAGATGACAAGGCAATTCTGAAGAGATGGAAATTTGTCTTTATATTAATGCACACTTCTTTATTATTGTAAACGAAACTGTCAGACTCGCAGTTCAGTGGAATATCTCGTAGGTAGTACAACAATGAAACACACGAGGTCATTTACTGTTATTAGCTCTAGTTCAGTCGCTAAGGATGCAGTTACTGGTTCCCCTGGCCCCCAGGGAGCAGAACGTACCTTCCTCTATTTTAATCGGCGTGCTGGGAGGAGTGCGAGCTGAACTGGGGTCAGGGGGGCTCTTCTCTTTCTGTGGCCTGCCATCTTCTGAAGGCTCTGCAGGTGTAGACAAAGGGAAATTAAAAAGGCAAATAAAAGTTCTCCGCATGTAAGAAAGTAAGTGTCCGTTTGCTCCATGCAAGAAAGATACTGACACATTTTTCTGAATCAAAATTCTGCCAGGATATTAAATAATACCAAAACAAGCAAAAGAAAATTAAGTGATAGTTTGATACTAACAAAACTGTTCAAGTCGTTGTTGTGCTCAGTACCTCTCTTTGGAGGTTTTTTTTTTCCTTTAAGCATGCATGAATAATAAAATAATTTATTAATTAGTTTATGCTGCTATTATAAAGAAAACTTGTGAGGAAAAACCACAAGGAAGATATAAACGAATAGGGAGGAGGGGATATGCTACCAGGTCTACACAAGATAACACACTTTTGCTTGCTTTGTTTTGCTGAAATTTGGAGTAAACAGAATTGCATCCCAAAAGAAAAGAAGACTGCACAAATAATCAGAAAAACATGCAGTAATTATATGATTCCAAACAGATTTCACAGTGGTTTGAGTATTTGTTATTAGTAAGGAGGGTCCCCTTTGCTTCCAGCTTTAAATAGCCCTAGATCCAAAGGAAAACATTAACAGAATGCACCATATATTGGGAACAACACTAAAGTGTTGTTCCATCCAGTTCACCTAACACAATTAAAGTAAAATCAGTCCCACAGATGAGAGTCAACTGACAGAATCTCCACATGGTGCAGATAAAGAGGTGGTTCCTTGGATTGCAAGCGCAGCTGTACCATGTTAGTAATACCTGAGGCCTCAGCCAAAAGGTCAGGATCAGACCTTAATGCTTTGATCACTGCAGTATGAAATTCCTTATGGGAAGACTTCTGCCCATCTGGCTCTTCTCCATTTAGATGTGGGATGATTTGCTGCATGGTCTGACAAGAAACCCATGCAGCAGCAAACTGAATGTTATCTAAAGACTTAGACAGTGATGATACATCATGATCCTGTAAAGTCTTCGTATCTTTTCCTTGAAAGGTGTTTGATCTCCCTTTCAAATCCAGAGATTTTTTATCTGACGTGTTTTGCTCACTGATGGTCTGATTTCTAAGTACTGCACTCTGTTCCCCAGCTGGTGTCTGTCTCAGTAACACAGTCTCTCCATATTTTGATACCTTATTGAAGGATGTGGCATTGTTACTGACAGAATAAAGGTATGCAGTTAAACAGGCATGACAGCACAGCATCCCACCCCACCCCACCCCACTCAAACCAAACACAATGGTTCCTACATTGTGGTTCCAAAAAGCAACTGCTGGGAACTCACACTGTGAAAAAAACAGCACTTTGGATTCTTGCATCACTCAAATTCAAAACCTCACAACAGATGAGTATTCCAAGTATCATGCCTTAAAATTATTCAAAAGTAAAGCAGGAGAACCACTTCAGATGCAGCAACAGTCTCTTTGTATAGCACAAATCTGTAATAGTTCTAGGATAATTGAAAAAGTCCATTCTGGTAGAAGTTCCCACAACATGTCACATTTTCCAAGCAATAATCAATTCTCCACTCAATGGACTTTTCAAATCCACAAATTTCAATGACTTCAAAATCTGCAGTGTTGCTGCTATGAAGTACTACCATTCCCTCACCGAAGCTCTAGGGCAAAGGAAAACAAAGCAGAATGAAACCAGTACCAAAACACCTTTTTGATGGAAGCTTTCAACTTCCTACCAGCAGGAGTAAATGGCCCTACTGCCCAGTTTGTCTATAAGGACAGTTTTAGAGTTTAGCATTTTAAAGAACACAGTTAAAACATTTAGATCACACATTTTATCTCTAATATACTTTTCAAATTTCTAATTCACACTGATAAAACTGAAACATACAAAAGCTGGGTAATTTATCCATGGCCTTTGCAGGTAACCCTCTTTCCAATTACTAAGAAACTTGCTGGTACTGCAGTCTATTGCAGAAAAAACACACTCAGAGAAACCAACCTTCTGGTCCCTTCTGCTTTCTTTCTACTTCTTTGCGATATTCTTCCAGTTCTCGATCAGTAAGTTTATTGAAGGGATTTGGTCCTGTTGTGCTCACTATGACTTTTGGTTGATATTCTTTCTCAATTATTGCCTTTGATGCAGTCACCAGTTCTCCCTGGCAAAAGAAAATCAAGATACATCTGCAATCAAGCAGTAATTTGCAGAACCTTTAGATGTATTGAGGCTACAAAGCAATCAAAAACAAACCAAAAACTTAACCTAGAAAATGCTACTTTTTCCTCTTTTAGGTAAAAAAAAAAAAAATCTATTGCAGATTTTTTTTTTTTAATCTGATTAACAGGAGGTTAATATAAAGGACAAAACAGGTCTCTACCAGGGAATATCCACCATTAAGCAGTAAATCAAACAGCAGCCAAACAGTGTAGCTGAATAATATTTGAAGTCACAAAAGTTTATCAAGTTTAGTTTTCTCACCACAAAAGAAACATGATACCAGGCCCACCTGCATGGTAGTCTGGGCACAGAATACTCATAAAGGGTCAAGAACTCAGCTCATGGGTATTTTTGTTTCTGTTTTGTTTTGGGCTTTTATTATTATTATTATTTTGCTTTGGGTTTTTGTTTTGCTTTGTATTTTTTTGATAACAGAAAAGCTATTTCTTTCAGCTACTACATTACACCGAACAGATGTTATAGTAAAAAGCCACCTTGTATATGTTCTGTATACATCAGATTAACAGCTTATTATAAGCCATTTTAAAATAATTAGGTTTAACTGTAATCAGATACAAGTTAGCATATTTACATCTATAACATTTGTCATATAAGCCAGATAAAAAGTTATAAAAATAAAAATATAATGAGCAAGTCTAAGTACAGTAAATTCCAGTGGACAAAAGGAATTGCATCAGATTCTCTAATGTTAAAGCTTTTCATTTTTCTTCTCTATTCCTATGGTAATGGCTACAGCCCCTGGATTTTCATTGCCTCATGTACAGAAAATGCTTGCCTGGAGATAGTTGCTCTATCTCTCAAATTGTCTAAGCATTTGGCTTTTTCCATTGGATATACAGAACTCTGACACTAGTTTGTTAACAGCTGATGTGTGACCTGTGCCCCAAGTCATGGTGAGACCCAAACTCTTCATTATCAAAAAGAGATATCTGAACTCCATTAGCCAATAGGTATGGGCTACTGATTGACCCACGTCATCTCCATATTCAAACGTTGCCTGTACCAATATTTAGAAGAAAGCATAGTTCAAAAATATGCAGTGCCTAAAGAGAGACAAACATTCCATCCCATGTCCACACTTCATGGACAAGCACAGGATAGCCACTGTAAAACTGATGATGCAAATAGACAGAATGCTGTTTTGGATGGCAAGGGCTGCTTTGGACAAGTTGTCAGCACCAAAGAAGTGACAGGGATGTCTGGATGGAAGGAGGATGAGCAGTTCTGAAAGCCTGATGAGAGATCTCCAGAAATCCGGTCTACAGCAACCCAGGGAGGAAAGACGGTTGTTAGAATCTTTGCTGCTCTTTGGGAAGCAAACGCCAGAGAACAAACAGCCTAACAATAAATCTTCATTGCAAGAAAGGAAAAGTTCCTGAAAGGAACTGCAGGAGAGAAACATCTCTAAAACATTACAGATCACTTCCATTTCTTCATAAAATAAGAGAATTCATTCTATATGTAGAATGTCAGTAGAATGTCAAAAGCCTTTTCTCAACTATATCCATGAAGCATTGATTTGACAGCGACAGCTTTTCTCAGAAGATAATGTATAAAAGGGTCAGAGAAACATCAACTTTTTTACAAATCCTAATTGTTTTGTAGAAAATTCAAAGCACCCCTAAAACTACAGGTCTCAGCTTTTAAAGATGGCAAAAAACTGATATTTCCCTTTCTGTTTTTGTCCACACTTCAAACTAAGTTCATAGTTTTAACTGAAACTGAGCATAAGCAGCAGGACCTTGTAAAGCATTGATCTCAGGCAGAGTTTCTATAGCTTTCTGGGAACAAGACACACTGTACCCATTAGTATCCCTGGAATTTCTAAGAATCTCTTTGAATGTTGCAAGTTAAATCCAGAATCATTGGGTAGAACAAGTTCTAATGAAACAGAATGCTACTGAAGGTCTGTTGATTTAATGGGAATAAACAGCAAGACAGGCAGTATGAAGATGCCTGGTGCACTGGGCATGATGTGCTGTCCTACTCAGGAGAGTACCTTTGTTAAATACTGGGAATGAAAGCAGCAAATTAAGCTTATCACATTCACTAGGCTGGGAAAAAAAAAAAAAAAAAAAAAA